CTTTATTTTAATCAAAAACAAAATAAAATAGCACAGTATCACACCAAGATCCCCAATAAACCTGCTTTTCAGTTGACTGCAGGCCCACAAACGTCACCCTCAGCACGGCAGAGGTCCCAAGCGCCACCTGGTGGTTGTCCGGGTACATTGCAGTTCTTTTTGAAATAAAAAAACTGGCCTCAGGAAATACAACGTGATTCACGTGGGAATCACACAGGAATCACGCAGGAAACCGTCCATTTCCAACCAGTCCCCACTGTAGAGAGGAAAACCAGAAGAAAAGGGACAAGAGAGGGACACAACCTAGAACCAAAAACAAAAAATTCTCTATCTGTATAATGGGTCTGTTTTATGTGTTATCTTCTCAATTCAGAGGGCCCCCTGCCTGTCTTTGCCTAGGGCCCCAAATTTCCTAAATCCACCCGTTTGTGTCGAACATCCCGATTCATCAGTGTGAACATTAGATTTGTTTAAGAGGAGAATCAATGTTTTTTGGTAATCTAAATGATCATCAAAAGCTTTAAACTAACATTCTTCTGTTAGTATGTTAGCTTCAGCTGTTTCAGCAACCGTCAGAAGAAGCCTCCTTGTCTCCATGAATAACTTTATTCATTTGTCCTTAAATCCGCTTTAAGTCCTGCTTTTCAAACCCAACCAGGTAAATGTTTTTCTTCCCATCAGACTCTTTTTGTTTTTTCTTTTCCGTTCCTTATAAGTACAGACGGTGTACAGCATCTCAAAGCCATGCTTTTAAGATTTGAAGCCTCCTGTGAAGTCGTGCAGATGGATGATTCACCAGCGGCTGGCGGAGTGAAGCAATACATTTGTTTGAACACAAAAATAGTAAAAAAAATAAAAATAAATCCCCAAAATTCAAGGGCAGGAGTCGATTTGTGCTGGAGTTCTTTTTTTTCTTATTTTGTTTTTTCACGTCTGTTTCTTATTCAATCTCTTTCCCCCCTGAATAATTCAGCCTGTGTCTCTTTTTTTGTTCGCCTTTGTCTTAATCTATTTCATGTGTAAACTCCAGACTCGGTTGAATGTCGCTTGCTGACTGTGCAGCTACTTAAAAAGCGCTTCATCCTTTGTTTGTTGGTAGTGTGCCCTTAAAATGTCATATCCTCCCCAGATATTCACCTACAAACATCTTCTCCTTCTTTTTCAGAGTCTGACTCAATCTGCTGCAAATTTAGAGGGCAACCGGCTCCCCCAGCAACAAGCAGGAAGCACGTTTTTACTCATTGAGGAGAGAAGATGAGGATCAGGGGCGTCAGGAATAAAGCTCTCGAAGTCAAACCAAACAAAACTGGCATCTTTCAAAATTTCAGGTTTGCGCTGCAGCCACTCCACACTTCAAGTCGCATCACAGCCGGTTGCATCAGTGTTGCAGAGCACCAGCGTTGGTTACAATGTGACTCTGGACGGCAGCGGATAGAACAGAGATCAGGACTAATGGTAACAGCAATTGAAGTTGACAGAAAGCACCTATGTGCCACATGAGGCTGGTTCAAACAGTTATAGTAAATAATAAGAATGCTAAGAAATGAGCACTGAAGGCCTGAAATACATTCTTCATATTACTATTTCAGTTTTTATGACGCTTTTCTTCCCTCAGACTTGGAGTCGTAGGGAAGCGGCTGTTCCACCCGTTTCTCACGAATTCTCCTGAGTGGTGCCCGACTTTACACGAGTGAATAAAGTGAATGTGATTGGTCGTTTATCAAGGGGGCGGGTTTATTGTGGTGGAAGGTTCGCAAGCAGGTTTGATTGTGGCCAGTTTATCGTAAGCATCGTTGCTAATCAGTTAGCAACTTAGTGCTAGTAGGTTCCCAATGGGAAATTCCATTGGGACCAAGTAGCACTAAATTGGTGACTTAAAAACGACACTGTCAAGGAACGCTATGGACAGCGGAAACATGCAAGAGGAGGAGAGTTTAGTGTCGGAGGTCGTGGATGAGTCTCCTCCGTCACCCATTTTTTATTTAGATGAGGAAAGCGGGACGAAGATGTTGTGGAAGAGGACGCCAGGGCGGCAGAAGCTTGGTTTGGTGTAGAAGGCTTCCAGCCGTACATGTTTGAGCCCTTGCCTCGCAACGCTGCCAGTTCTGTTAGCTCTACGCCTGCCGAAGACACAGACGTCCATCCCCGTGAACACTGGGACGCAACTCAATGGGAAAGGAAATTATTCTTATTACTTATTTCAACCATTGCGCATATTAGCTGCAACATATGAATCAAAATGCTATGACCGAAAAAATTTGATTTTACAAATGACCGTTGATATATGATTGGCTGAATTTAGATGTTCAGGCTGACGTATAACTAACTGGCCTACAGAATATGATGGAAAAAAAATAGAAATTACTAGAACTTTTCTAACTTTTAGGACAATATCATCTGATAAAGAGTACATTTATGTACATGTTTAAGCCAGAATGATTTGACTTTTAAATATTATTTCCCTACGACTTCAAAAAAACGAATCCGACTGGAACAGAGCTGAGAATCCGTCTGAATGTTTGTTTTTCACTGAAGAGGAGCTACATCTACTGAGGGATGCATCCTTAAACCCTGCATATCACATTTCTGATCTTTAACTCTGGTCCCTTACAGTGAGTAAAAAAAAAAGTTTATATTCCAAGTAGTCATACTTTTTAATTTACTTTGCTCTTGAGTTTGAATTTGAACCAGATTTCATTAAATAAGGGAAAGTAAGACATTTTTATTAGGACCTATCTCTAAGTTTGGAAAAAGTCCTCAATTGAGTACAAAGAAACAATCTATTTCTGCTCGCTTATTAAAGAGAGACCGGGAAGATAGGAGGCCTAAAGTATTATCTTTGTTATGAAATCCAGTTTTAATCTTTTCTGCCTTCATATGAAAACAGTTCTTATCTATTGAACGCAGGGTTCCAGTAGATCTTTGTTGGATGTGTAACTGTCTGTGCTGCAGTCTGCATCTTTAATCATCAGCCACTGTGTGTTGAAAGAAGCGGCGGTCGTTAACAACTGAATTATTGTCGTGTCTGCATTGTTCAGGTAAACAGTAAACTTTTCGTTGAAAGACATTTATGTTTTGCTGTCATGTTTCCTCACTAAACAAACACAGTATCTAAAGAGAAGGGATGCTTTTTAGTGTAGGGTAAAACTTTTTATCTCTACTTTTACACACTGTACAGGAATTAAAGATGTTTCCTGCAACGAACAATGGCCGTACGGTGCTGTAAGCACAGATTGGGGCCTGGAGAAAACAACTCCAGGTGAGTCCAAGCTGAGTGAATTAACTTGTGCAGATTGGACTTTATAAATGCTGGTGAAGATTCTCAGTCATCCAGGTCATAGTCATGCCAAAAAAGGAAAAAAAAAACAATCCACTGGACTTATTTTTTAAGTTTGAAGACGTCAGAAATAGCGTTGAGTTCGAGGCTTTATACAGTAGCCCAACAAAGCCTTGTTTTTGTTTAGAAGACATGCAAATCGCAATAGAAACAATGACCCCCATTCCAAAGGGGTGGACCTGTTCGTCCGTTTCAATTTGGACCATAAAGACAAACTAAATGAAAAGTTGATGCAAAGTCTCCATAAAGAGAAGGGTAGCATCAGCGGGGTCCAATAGATATCAGGGATCAGCAGAAAAAGTCTATTTTATGTATGTCAGAGGTAAAGTCTTTAGAAAAAAACAGGTAATTATCATTTCTACAGAGTCAAGAATAAAAGTCTCTGATTAAAATGAAAGAATGAAAACAAACGAACTGAATGATGCTGTGAAAAAGGGGCTTCTGTTCATTTTAAGGTAGATGAAAACTTCCATCATTATTCACCATTTCATGTGTTTATTTGGCTTTAACTGGATTAAAATTCAGGCTCATAGGTTGTGGATTGTTGTTCAAGTCGTTTATTTAATTGAAAGGAGCAACAGGCATCTATAGACAATGTGTAGCTTCAAAGTTTTATCTTTTTGACAATTTCCTTTGTTTTATCTCCTTACTTTAATTATAGAGCACTCACTGAAATACTTGGAAAATCAAAATTTCAACCCAAAAGTGTTATTGTAATCCAGGACAAAACCTTATTACCTTCGTAACATTTAAAAAAATATTGATATTTTGATAGTAAAAATGAATGTCAATGTAATAACAAGAAACGCCAACTTGCTGGAATATATTAGGAAAAATAACAAAAGTGCTTCTATCAGAGATTCATGAAAAACATTCATTGTTTTTGGTACAACGGTGAATTAGAGGCTTTGATGCTGATACTGGCACCTATATTTTTTAGTTTAAAATCTAAATATAATTGTAAACAAGGCTTATAAACTTTTTAACTTTACTTTTTACATTTTCAATTAGCTTTTTACCTTTTTTTCTTGAGTGAACTTTTTTGTTCCAGCTTAATTTACAGTAGGTAATATATCATTCAAGGGCTCATCTAATTGGTCAAATGCCAAAATAAGATGTACAGCAATGTAGCAGCATCTTTGCTGAATGGCTGGACATAGATCTGGTGCTTCTAGACCTCAATGAGGGATGGGGGGGGGCTCCTTTTGTAAGGGGGATGCAAGTGATCAAAGACCGTAACATGCCCTATAAAGGATTAAAGTAAAACACTTTGTTATTAGATGAAAAATAAACCAAAATAAAGAAAACCTCTGTTATTTCTGTAGAATTCTTGGACTATAAACCGTGATACCACTGAAGGACGTGAGTTTGCATGCAAGACAGTTGAGCTTCCACCACAGCCGGCAACACCAGAAGCCGAGCAAACATGCAAACAAATGCAGTAAAGATGAGAAGATGATGATGAGAAGGAACAACAACAACAACCAAAGAGCCCCGAAACCATGGAAACAAAACCGAGACAAATCAAGAAACAGAGGGATAAAGTGGAGAAGGTGTAGGGCAGGAAACAACCAAAATTAATTAGTGTTTTGCGTCGTGTTGTATGGTTTAGCTGTGACATAACATAGGGAAGAAGATATTCTGCCTATAGAGAAATAATCACCTTCGCTGGGGATGACTAGAATGTACGGCGTTGTTATTTGTCCCCTACCTATTACCACTAAGGCCAAGGGCCACACGTCCCCGCCGGAAAGCATGAGAGGAAGAGAGGGGAGAGAGAAAAAACAAACAACAACAAAAAAGGAAAAGAAAGAAGAAAAAAGTCTAAGAAAAAGGATAAATGATTTGATTTATCAGTTTCATTAGATCCCCCCCCAGTTTGATCTGTCTAGAGGAGAGAAGCTGCTGTGGTGAGAGATGAGATCAATAGCACTTCTGCTGGGATATGACTTATCGGCCCAGGATAAACAGTCCGTCTAATTACCAGGAGGAGGCCTGACTGGTGTGTCCAATATGCTTATTAGTAAAGAGTGGTCAGTGAATGCAGATGTTGTGTTTGGAGTTAACATTGGGATCTGCCAGCCTGGACTGACGGGTTAATAAAACCAAAGGGAAGAGACAATGGAGGAAAGGAAGAGATGGATACAAAAAATCTTTCTGGCAACTTGTAGAGGAAAGAAACTGATAATTATGTCTGCTGATATATGGTTTCACATTTCTGAGGCAGGAATGGGTACGTCATTTAGTTTGAAGGAGCTGTTCGTTGTTTTTTTTATGTTTTGTTTTTTGCTTTTGGCGCGGGCAAAACCCTGAAAGCAGATTGATGTTGAAACCAGTGATCATAAGGGCACTAACACACCTGTGGTAAAGAGAAAGCCTCAATTATGGATCTATAAGGCTTTCTTTGTGTCTGCTGACCTTCTGCTCCCACCTCTGACCACTGCTGCAGCCCTTTCTAAATTACATTCGATACCAGAAAATTATCTCACAGAAAGAACTTTATTTTCCTTCAACCTCCTGATTAGGTACTCAACTTTTTCTTTTGCCAGTATGTTTTTATTTGCAGTTATATGCTTGATTCTGTTTTTTTTCAGACTATTTCTTTCTAAAGAAGCTAAAGCATAATTCTCTCTTTCTGTGGATTTTTTAACTAAGCTTGGAATTCAAGGCATGAAAAATCTGGATCCATAAAATTGTCAACGGTGTTATTTTATTTAAATTTTTTTCTGGGAAATTGTATTTTTTTTTTTTTATACAAAAGAAAGACACCTCAAATTCAGCTCATGTCAGGTCTTAGCCTAGACTAAAACATAAAAGCAAGGATATGCTGCTATAGGCTTCGGCTGCCGGAGGACAAAGGGACTACTTTTCTCTCTCTGCTTCTATTTCTGAATTTCTGCAGTAGCTTTTAGATTATAGTTTTTAGATTGTCTTTGTCTTCTAGGTTATGTTCTTCTTGTTTTTTGCCCTCTCAGTTTGTTTGCTGCTGTCAGCAACTACCATTTAATGGCATGAATTTTGGTGCATTATTGTTGCAAGCAAAGAACAAGTTTTGTAATTTGACAGACGAGTATTTTTGCTGATTTTTAGATTTAATCTTTAGATTTTTTTTTAACAAATACATTTTTTTTTTTATAATTTAACTTTTTGAAATTTCTCTCATTCAGATTGAATTTTTATCATTTTAAAACTTTAAAACTATGTTTCATAGATCATCTTTCGCTCTTAATGCACTATGTGCTAACAGCCTGCAGACCAAAAGAAATGCTCCTCACTTCAGAGAAAAGCCTACGTGAAGAAAATGTGATCTGGAAAAACAAAACTGAAAAAAACTATATTTCATAAAACTGAGTCTGAAAAGCAGAAATTTTACAAATAAAAGTACCAAAAAAGAATTGAAAAAATTTAATATTATATGCAAATTTTGGAATAATTAATTTTCATTTACAAATAGTGTTTCTTTTTAAATTTTCATTAGCAAAACATGTCTGTTGTTTTTTTTGCTTAAAATGGTATTGGAACAGTTTTCACTCCATACCATCATAGATTATGCAGTTTGGCTTATTTCTTAGTGTTTAGTCCTGTTTCTATCCAAGACATAGGTATGGGTCCAGCTTTTACTGTCACTAATTGGATGTTCTCATTTTCATCCTTTAACATGAAAACTGGCTCAGAGCTCAGTGTTTCTTTCCCAGGTAGAGCCACCTGTGGAGCTAGTTTACCTTTAGATTTTCTAACATCGAAAGTCTTTATAGAGCAATGCATTTACGTTCCGTATCTCCCTGAACCCCAGTCTGTCTCAGCAGAAGCCACTCACAATTAGCCTGGTTCTGGTGGAGGTTTCTTCCTGTTAAAAGGGAGTTTTCCTCTCCACTGTTGCTGCATGCATGATTGTTGTGAGGGATTGCTGTAAAGTTGCCATTTCTCTAGCTGCTCATCCAGGAGGAGCGGATCCTGCAAATGACTGGATGCAATCAGCTGGATGATCGGATTCAATCATCTCTGTAAACTGTCTTGAGATGACGTGTTTTTAATTGACGCTATAGAAATAAATCTAATTGAATAGTGACTACCACAAAGCTGCCTTTTTCCATTTACTGATGCACTACCTTGATTTTATACCCAGGTACATCAGAGGAAGAACTACCAAGCAGAATATGGAAGCAAAGCGATCTAATATTTATCCAATGTTGCAGGATTTTCCGACTAAACTTGATCTGCATTTGAATAACTGTATTGTATGTCTCGTGTTTCAGTAGAGCTAAAGCTTGTTATGCTGTGAGCTGCCTGTCGAGGCCACTGGAGCTGACCATTGATTGAATTGGAAAAAACATATTTGCCAGAAAGGCTCAGATCTTTAAAGTATGAGACAGATCTATAGACAATAGATTCAAGATATAAAATTAGAAATAAATTATCTTTCAGGGTTTTACCAGGCCATACTTTACAGTCAGCCATGGTTTGTTATCATTCCACTTTGAAAAACTGCGGCTAGTACAGTTTCACTACTTGTAACGAAATCTAAAGATGAGTTGTTTTGAAGCTCTTTAACATTGAATCTTCTTATCTGGCAGCTCATTTCAAACACAGCGTGCTTCTAAAATGTGTCTGCTGCAGTGAAATGAAGCACTCTCCATATCTGACTCATATCGTCTGCAGCAGACGACTTGACTGAAATACTACTGGATGAACCGTTCAATAAAGCTGACAGAAAATGTTTGTTTCAGAGACGCTGCAGGTTGTAAAGCTCTACCTCGTTATTCTGGATTATAGAGGATGGAGGGGAACAGTGCAACAGGAATCTATAGGAATTAACCTTTTCAGCGCCAGGCTGGAGGTTAAAGGAAACCTTTTTTTAAAAAAAATAAAAAAACATGGTGGCTGACTTTGGTTAAGGGGTGGCTGTGGCTTTCAGGAAAATCCCAGAACTGAAACAATTTTAAAGTCAACTCAGACATATTAATGTGGAAAGAATGTTTTTTTGGGGGGCGGAAATTATGGAGCTACACTGGGGCCATATAGTTGGTTTTATTTGATTTAATTTTTATTTTTTTTGGAAAATAAAAAAATATTATTTGAAACTGAAAAATAAAAAATAAAAAACTGAAAAAAAATGTTAAAATTACTTTCCAATTTCCAATTTCTTAAATAATTTTCTTCATGGGGGCGGGGCTTAACATAATGTGAGGCATGGAATGATGACTGAAAGTTTATTATTGGTGGATTCAGGAACCCATGGAAGTAGAAACGTCTACATTTCTCTACATCATCTCCCTGATGACACTTAAATCACTGAAATGTGTTAGTCTTTTAAAGTCAGTTACACTAAAGAACAATGCCAATAGCCTTTTGGAGGCTTTTTAATTTCCCACAGTTCCTGAATGCCACAGTGGGAATATCTAGTCCAGGGGCAGAAGGTGTCTGTCCCTCCATGTCTTCTTCCCGAAGGGGAAGCAGTTTAAAACTAAAAAGAAAACTTTTAAAAGGCAAAGTTGTTTTAAGAATTTAAAAATACCTTTGTTTTTTAAAACCCTATATTTTTAATTTATATTTTATTCAGTTTGATATCTTTTTCATTTCAGTTTAAAAATTATGCTTTAATTGCAAATTCTTTTCTCAGTAAAAAAAAGGAAAAAAAAAGGTAGCCAATCTTTTTTTTTCTAGTTTAAAAAAAAAATCCTTTTAAATTTTTTTCAGTTTTAAAAATACTTTTCAGTTTTTAATATTTTATTTGTTTATGTATATATAAGTATGGTATAAGTATTCTATTTTTAGCTACGTTTTATTCATCTAATATCCTTTTCTTCTCACATTAAAATACTTTTTTCATACTTTTTTTCTTCCAGTTTTAAATTTTTTTCCCAAGTTTCTGCAATAAAGAAGAAATTGATCAAAATTCTGCTTCAAGGGTTCTGATGAAAATAAAAGAGAGCTTCTCCTACGTGTCTCTAATTTTATGCTTTTATTGACTCTTTTAAATCCATCTCCACGTTATCTTGAAGAGAAACAGACGTTCTTTATTTTCTGAACAGAAACGTCTCATTTTGCTGTAGTTCAAAGAGCTGACTCACTGGAGCCGTGCCTCAGGGACTAACGCAGTCAGACTACAGTCCTGAACACTTTTTCCTCCTCCTCATGATGCTGCGCTGGCTAATTTTGTTCTTTCTGATTATGCCTTACAAACTGCAGAACTGTTCATCTGTCGCTGGTCGGCTGCTGAAACTAAAGGAGATTTTCCTTCTTTAAAGGGGTCATAGAATGGTTCTATACGGTATTTGGTGCTGGTCCTTAGGGTCTCTGAATAGGGTGTGTAACATTGGTTGGGCTAAAAATGGCATATTTGCTGTTCTATGAGAGCTAATTGGTTGGTTTGCAACGAGCGAAGCTGCTGAGCAAAGACGCATCATAGCAACAAGCACTCACTCACTGAAACATCAGATTGTTGATATTGTAGGGTGACCAGATGTCCTCTTTTTCCTAGACATGTCCTAATTTTCATATCTAAAAAAATGTCCAGGGGGAATTTGAAAATCGTCTGGGATTTTGGTCGACTACAGTGCAGCAGAACCGAGCCGTGAGCTTCGGGGCTGGTCCGGGAACCCCGGCGGATGGGGGCAGGGAGCCAGCAGGAAACAGAGCTACCAAACCCGACCCCGACCGTAGCCTGGACACCGGCAGCCCCATGCTTCCCCCAGCCTCCCTCCTCCGCCTGAGCACCGGCGGCTCATGGCTCTCTGCTGATGTCCGGTCCAGTCAGTGGCCCAGCAGTCGACACTTCGTACCCCCTCCTCCCTTGGCCCAGTGAACCAGTGGGCTGGTCTGTATGTCTATATCGGGGCGTGACTAAAGTACAGGCCAGAACCAAATAAGGCAACATCCCCGAATTGACGTCAATTCTGGGCTTCGTTTGGATTCGCCCGTTTTAAGGTGGAAGTTTACAATTGTGAGATTTGCAGAGAAAGGAGGTTTTGATGGGGTTTGAACTTCTTTGTACGTCCATTTCCCCCACTGAACTATCGTTATTCATCCACGACAATGGAAACTCGGTTTTGCATTCTATAACCCCTTTAAAGGGAGACATTCCTCTCTACTGCCACCTTGTGATCTAAATTCCTTGAAGAGAAGTTGAAATATTTGAAATAGGATGATCAACATGATCTGATTTAATTGGATTAAACTCAACGAGAATAAAACTGAGTGAAAATGGACAGACCTGGAATAACCAGAAAAAACTGGACCTGTTTGACTTTGTGCTTTCAGATAATTTTAAAATAAAACTTATTTGAGCCAACATTAAATATCTCTCTAACTCTGATTTATCCCTGCATTATGTGCAGAAAGGTTCCCACCCAGATTACTGCTTTAAATTTTATTTCAACTTCAATTTGCTTCTAAAATTCTCTGATTGGACTAAAGAGACAGCTGCAATTTTTGTTACAGAACTACATTAAGAAAACCATTAAGCTTTCTTAAAATTGACCATCTGCTTTGCAACTTAACACTGCCTACTTTAAAACTAACAAGTCCATTTAAATTACATTCGGACTCAATTTGATGCAAATAAAGGTTTCCACATTTAAGCAGAAAACTTTGGGGTATGAAGACAGCCGCAAAGTGAGAAGCATGTCTTTCCTAATGCAGACAGTCATAGCGTTGTGTTTTCACACCCTAACATATATTACCTAAAGAAAAAAAACAAAACAAACATTCAGTATAATAAATGAAGAAACCAAAAGCTATAAAAGAGAGAAATGTGCACAAATGAGCAATAAAGGCTTGATGTACTGTGGATGAGACAGAAATAGAGATTGAAAATGTGGAAAAATCAAATCAATGCTTGATGAAGATGGAAAAATAAACAGAAGGTGAGAAAAATCGATAGCAAGCTGAAAAGCTCTCAAAGCACACAGCCCGGCGCACAAATGGGTGGATTTGTGAAAGATGAACAGCAACTAAAGATCTGAGACACAGAGAGAGCAATGGAGGGGTCAGAGCTGGAGGTAACGCTGTAGCATCTGTCCAGTGGGTCTAATAAAGCCGACTGGCTGGACGTGGCATGAGATGACGAAACAAGAGCCGGACAGAAGGAAAGGAGCAGAATGAGAGAAATACTGGAGCAGAGGAGATGGGAGAAGAGCATGCAGGGTCAACAGGTCATGAATAGTTGGCCTTTTTCCTGCAGAGTGTGTGTGTTGGTGTAAAACAGCTCTTCCCTAATAGAACCTACTCCTCTGGGTCGATACCAAAAGTCTAAATACTATGAAAGTTCTTATACTTAACTAATGATGCTGTGTATCAATGGAAGGGTGCTCATACCTTTGCGAGCCAGACGGACGCAGTTTATTTTGGTTTCCTGTAGAGAGAAAACACACACAGACAAAAAGTTAATATCCTTCACATCTGATAACTGTTTTTTTTCATAAGCCATTATATTCCGTTCGGACATTGGGGACCTATGTCCATTGTCCTATGCACCCCCCTGCAGGTGTTCTGTCAGATCAACAAACCCGGACAGACCAACAAACCCATAGTCAGTACACATTTATCCCTTTAGTTTATCTCAGTTCATCCCTGTATTTTATCCCTTTAGTTTTGTACCAAAAATAAACTTTAAACTACCTCAATGGGCGTGCATCCCTTTAGTCATGTATTAAAAAATCTATTTATTTACTTACTTTTTGGTGTTTTTTGTAGTGTACAGCAATCTCAACTTAAATTGCTTTTTTATACATATTTAAAGTCAGTTACACTAAAGCAGTAGCTGACTTTACTGCTTTAGTGTAACTGACTTGTAACTTTAGTGTAGTAAAGCAGAAGCAGTAGGTTCTTGTTCCCCATGTACGCCATACTTGAGTTACAGGTAAGTTATCTGATCAATGACATACGTTAAGTATAAATTACTCATAAGTGGTGGCGTTTAGCTTATCCAAAGCCTATGAGTCACGTGAGCGGGGTTCACAGGAGGAAACCGTCAGTTCTCCTCCAGACTTCATCCCCAGTATAGGGTGAACGTGAAGGTGAGTGTAATGGATCCTCCCTGTGTTCACGCCCACCACCAACAAACTTCCTAGCAGACATGATGCTGAATCTGCTGCCACTGCAAACCTGCTTTCTTTCCATTTATTTTTATTTATTTATTAAATTATGTTTTTTACCACCTGCTTCTATGGTCTTTTGTTCTTTGTTTTAATCATATATATCTGTATGGTAAAGAATATATCTGAAAAGCTAACTCTTACCCCCTGACAGCACTGGTTAAAAAAGGAGTGCCTCAGGGTTCTGTCTTCAGCCCACTTTTATTTCTTTCCCATACTGAGATCCAGCTTGGTCAGACTATTCCATTTAGACTTAGACTTAGAGACTTAGACAGATTTTATTTTGTCATTTTGAACACACAAGTGTATACAAAAAGAAATTTCATTAAGTACGGCTCTCTAAACTTTGTCATTTTTTTTTTATTGCAGCCTTGATTCATTTGAACCATTTAAGTCTCTAGGGTCATTTACTCAGTGAAAATGTTGAACATGAATATTAAACATGAATGTATGATGCAGAGCATTGTATATTTGTGTGCTTAATATTAATTATTATCATTTTAATTACATTATTCTGAAAATTTCATCATATTTATAATGTCAGAAAGTCTTAAAAGTCTGTATGCATTGTTGTTCAAGAATTCATCTTATTTTTCCTATCAGCTTTGCCTTGGGCTGTTTCCTTTGTCAGTGGGTGTCCTTTCTTTTAAACCTGCTCTTTTTATTCCTTCATGGCTGCAACCTTTTACCTTTTCTCCCCTCCTACAAGGTGCTGTCACCAGCCAGTGTACCCGTCCCACACACCTGTCACCCACATATTTCCATCCGTCATTCGCCGGCCCATTTGTCTTCATCAGAGACGATACGTACAGTAGCTGCCAACATGTCACCTAAAAGCTTCTGAACAAAGTCTCTCCAGCTTTGGTTTTTAGGGCCCCTTCTGAATATCCTCAACTCAGAATATCAACAAATCAAATCTAGTTATAATAAACCAACTTTAGAAACTACACTATTTGCAGAAAATATATTTGGATTTCTCTCACGGGTCATGACAAAAATAACATTCATGTTTAATTTTTTTAAGTAATTTCCAAACAAATATAGTAAAAAAAAAAAAAAACAGCAACAACAACAAAAAAAAAGCTCATGGGATAACAAAAATGCCAAGAGTTTCCAACGTGGTATTAAATTAGACCTGATGTGCAGATCTGCACATTTATGGAGTGAATTTTCTTTCTTTTTTTTTCCCCTATCTTGTTTTTAAATATATTTTTATATAGTATGTCAGGTTTAATCAATGATGATTATAAAATCAATGTGTGCTTATGAAACATTTGTGCAGTCAGGAGACCATCCTGCCTTGTCATTCTGATGGAGCATCTTGTCTTTATGAACTGATCAATTGTTCTGTCAGAACAAATACTGTTTTGTAATCATGTCCTATGCTCTGTTAATAAAAGACGGCTGCAGGAGGGGATTCGGAGAAGGAAAGCTTGAAGTTGGGTTGGGCTTTTCCTTCCGCTCCTGCAGAAGCTGCTTGAATCTCTTTCCTGTGCAGAGTCAATTTCTATTTATTTGCAAAGTTATTTTTCCTGAATCCAACATAGTATATTTACTTTTTCATGTCTCTTTTTCAGATTGAATATCATGAATTTCATTCTTTTCAAATTGTGTTTTACAGATCAGAGCATAGATGCATTTCTTTTGGTCTGCTGGACGTTAGCGAGAAGATTTCCATTGATCAAAAACTAGCGTTTTTATTGGGCTTGAAATGTTATTAAATTATTAGTTTTTGCATTTTCATTATTTTGTTTTTTATACTTTTGTTCCAAACAATTTTAGTTACTAAGTTGTACTTTATTTTATTTATTAGAAATATCATTGACATTTAGTAAAATAAATGTTATTCAGTCTGGAGGTCTCACTTTTCAACCAATCACCTCATCATCTACTCTGCAATTCGAAGATTCTTATTTCAACCATTGCGTATATTAGGAGCAACATATGAATCAAGATGCTATGACCGAAACATTTTTTTTGACAGATGACCATCGATATATGATAGCCCTAATTCAGGTGTACAAGCTGATCTATAACTAACTGGCCTGCATAAGATAATGTGAAAAAAAAGACAGGATTTTATTTTTAAATAGAAACTTTCTAAATTTTGGGAAAATATTGTCTGACGAAGAGTACATTTATATACATGTTTAAGCCAGAATTATTTGACATTTACATATGATTTCCCTACCATTTAAAAGCTATTTGATCAAAGTTCAAAGATTCAATGATGCTGATTCCGATGTAAACTTTAAATGAGAAATATAAATTCCTCTATCGGCATTGAAATTAAATTCCAAATGATTATTGACTAATTTACAGCAAACGATGATTAGCTGAATGTAGGTAAAAATCTCTGAGAGATTTAATAACAGGCTGCTTAATGGGAAAGTTCCCATCTGTTCATCAGACCAGGAATAAAAGTGCATTCAGGAATTTTGGAGTCTGAGTGCATCTTGATTGACAGCGACTGTCAGAAGGTAAAATCTCTCTCCTGGAAACTCCTAAACCTGCACTCTGAGGCTCTCTCAGTGTGTGTGTGTGTCACCACTGTGCTGTCTTTGCTGGTATGTTAGTGTGTGTGGGGGGGTGGTGGTGAGTGACATTGATTGTCAGAGTGCCTTGGCCAACCCCTGAGGCTTTTTACTTGTCAAAGAAGGTGTCTGGGTGTCTTTTTTCCCAGCATGGTGGAGCGTGTTTCTCCGTGCGTGTCACACTTTCCTTTTGTTTTTTTTTTAGTTTTCTGCCATTTTTTACCCCATTTTCTTTGTCTTCCTCTTCTTCCTCTCCTTTTTTTTTCCAGCAACTCCAACTTTGCAGCTTATTTTTTCACTACCTCTGATCTTCCTGAGTTTCATGCATTTACCTAATGCTCGTCTATTTTTAAGATGCACTGATTGGAGGTATGTCACACGGAGAAAAGTCTGCATGGAGTTCTTTAAGTGTCTTTAAGTGAGTATCATGATCTGGCCTGATAGTTTCAACTTAATTATTAATTTCATTCACCTGCCTAGTTCTGCCTGGTTCCTAATTTTCCACCTGCGTCTGTGCTTTATATTTGGTTTAGCCCGAGCAATCAGGGCAAGATAATTGTTTTGTGTTTTGTATTCTGTTTGGTCGTTTTTAGTTTAGTTGTAAGGTTCATGACCTGGTTCCTGGCATTGGATTGAGAGGGTTTTCGTGTTCGTCTTGTCTTCTGATCGTGTCCTGGTCCTTCTCCACAGACCCCTCAGGGTTTTGGGCTCAGAACTCTGAGAAGGTGAGTTTTATTCCTGTAAGCCTGGCTCCTAGGAGGAGACCAGTTTAAAGTCCTGCTGAAATCCTGGTGCCCCGTCTTGTCTCTGCTTCACTCAACCACCCAGCCTGCCCGTCTGCTTCTGTGGCTGTCTGTCTGGAGACGCTTCTGGACCCGTCTGTATCTGAACCTGCCTCCACGCTCTAAGGAATCCTGGTAGCCTAGATCCCTATGTTCCTGTTTGGGTCGGAACCGCTGATCAGCTGAGGACTCTTGGATTCCTGGACTGGTGCTGTCTGTTCTGTTTTCCCCTGACCAGGGTCGGCTTCCAGCTTGTTCTCCAGGGCTGCAGCATCTGGGACACTCTGGATGGCGCCAGCCAGTGTCCCATCGGCTGGATATCACCCCTTTCAAAGAAGGTGGACTGAACTCTCAAACCAGGTAAGTGACCCAAACAGATAATCATCTCCTGTCAGATGATCATGGTCACTTACCTGTGTTCCTCCCTTCAGGGTGTCCAAGTGTCCGAGCCGCAGCTCCACAGTCCCACGCTTTTGTTCTGTGCCCTTCGTTGTTTTCTAAATAAACATTTTTAATTTACCTGACTGTCTCACCTTGAATACTGGGTCTACCTGTCCTGTTTTATGACAGTAGGCCCTTTACAGGTGTCTAACCAGGTTTGTACTGGCCTAAGTGGTAATGTGACGATACTTGGACTGGTGTTTTTAAGTCTAAGCTTTCACTCCATACTTAAATAATCCCACTGAACAATGCTTTGTGCAGTGTCTAATTATGCTGTTATTGTTAATTAATTTTAAATTTTATAAGGCAAAACTGATCTCAAAAAGTAATTTTTTCTAATGATGTATTTGCCCTTAATTTCAGGAGGTGATGACCTGCCAATCGAATTTATATGTTTTCTCTTAAAAATAAAATTTATTTTCAAACTTTATTTATGCTTGAGATTTTCTCTTTTTTTTTTTTTTTGCATTTTAAAGATCACATTGTCTTCACTTCCAGCCCAATACAAACACTCACTCTTGACCAATAGAAATGGTTCTTTGCTGCTCGCTCCCCCCAAAGGGAAAGAATGAGAATGTGAAACACAATTTGAAAATAATTACATTAAAAAAAACTTTATCTAAAAAATCAAACATTTAAAAAAGAAATAAAAAACATAAACAATTGCAAAACAATTAAAATAATTTGAAAAATTAAATCTGAGTAATAAGCAGAAACTCTTTTTGTTTTAACCCTTTAAAGTCCAACCCAAGAATAAAACAAAACAGAAAATTACTTTTTTTTTTTTTTGAAGTCCTTAATTGGCCTTTTAACAAAATATGTAAAAAGAAAAAAACAGAAATAAATTTTTGATATTAATAATTTATTACTATGCGATTAGGTCAAGATTATTTTTTGTGTAGTCTTCTGCCCTCTGTTATCAGGTATATCTGATTGTGTACAATAGGATTTTGAGCAAAGTTTTTACCATTAAATTATGCAAAAGGTGTCAGATGCAAAACATTTCAGAAACCGTATGTATCAAATATGATACATTCGGCATTACAGGGTTAAAGTTGATTTTCTGTATTGTGTTTTTTCACATTAATTTACAAGCAAGTTTTGGCCTGAAAACAAAAATAGAACAAAGTTCACTTCGTACCTGTAGGAAGCCGGTTTATTTATGCCTAAAATGCTGTGAAAAGACACACAGATGAAAATAAAGAAGAGAGAGTGGGAGGATTGAGGAACAGTTTCCTCCTAAATGTTCTCCTGACTGAGAATAAAAGGCTGGGAGGAAGGCGTGGCTCTGGTTTGATGGACAGGGGGATCTCATTGGGGAAAACTAAAATAGTCGGATTATCCAAGACTGGCAGGGAATGAGCAGCTCTTTCATCCACAGGATCAAACTCTGACACCAACATAGCCGTCTAACAGCAAAACAAGGAGTTTCTTTGCAAACAAGAAGCATCTGCAGCCTTCGGGACAAACCGACGCTGACTCCCACAGCAGTGAGTGACAGAAAGAGAAATTAAATCAAATCCCTTTGTGAGAAAAGCAGATTAGTTAAATCCTTGATTGACAAATATCACCTTCACACCTATCTGCTCCTGAAATGAGGAGTCTAAAGCTTCAGCATTTGATTTGGCCCTGCAGTAAAAACGTCAGCCGCTGGGAAAGCGAATGGACAAATTTTAATATGTCTCTCGTCTTGAAATGCCAGCAACAGTTTCAATCTGGGAATAGTAAGGATGGGCAGAATGCGCAAATATAGAAAGTAATAATCCAACTGAGGGCCCATTTTCTAAGCCTGACTTCCCCATCAAATCATTTGGGTTATGGTGGCTGAACAGGCCCACTTATATTTCTATTTACTTTCTCCACCATCGCCCCACAGCACACCCACAATTTTCCACTCCGTGATCCGGACAAATCTAACTCTGATTGGATCGACTGCGATCCAATCAAATAGGGAGCCTGAAAATGACCTGATTTAAGGTCTGAACATGAGCCTGAATCCATCAGCCATGCAGGAAGTACAGCCCTCCACCTCACTGTCCATCTCCATGTGGGAGCATCGAGGGGCGAATCACGGCTTCGGCCGACTCACCAGGCATCGCTCTCTGCACCGTTACCCGGGTTACGGCAGGAGGATATTAAAACAAGCCTCAAAGGGTTTTAAAGTGTTATGGAAATTGAACAAAGTGAAGTTTGATTCTTGAGATACTTCTAAAGCAAGGAGCTGGTCGAAGATGGAGGATCAGCAGTCGGTGGGATTAATTGATAAAAAGGGGTCAGTGGAAGAAAAGCTTCCCCTTTGATTTAATAAAAGAGCCTAAAAAAATATGGAGGACCAACTCTGCCATTTTTAAAAATAAATACAGAAATAAATAAATGCTCAATAAATAAACAAATAAGCATACAAATAATTGCGCCCCAGAATACAATAAACTGATAAATGTAGGTAGAAATTAAATTATACAGTGAGACATAAATGTATGAATCTCTTTTAATAAGCTTCTTTATTTATTTGTTGACCCTTTAAGACACACCCCTCCTCATTTGCATAATGATGCAGGAATGCAGACAGAAATGTAAAAACGACAGGCAGAAATAAATAGCATTGTAGAAATAAATAGGGTAAAAAATAGAAAGGAAGAATAAAACAGACAAAAATATTATCACATGCACATAAATAAATATAAAAAAGTAATAAATAAATAAAGTTGAAGATTATAGAAGACAATACATAAATAAGGTAATTATTACAAAGGCGGATAAATAAAAAAGCTAGATACATTTATGCCTCCTTGCATAATTTAATTTCTACCTACATTTATTTGTTTATTGTATTTTGGGGGGCAATTAATTGTGTGCTTATTTATTTACTGAGCATTTATTTATTTCTGTATTTATTTTAAAATATGGCAGAGATGGTCCTCCATAAAAAAAAAACCTGCATGGCAGTAAAATAAAAACACATGACCAAAAGGTCCAAAAGATAAGGCCTGACTAGAAACAGTTAGTGTTTAAAGTTTTAAAACTGTTTGACGATTCCACACTCAAAGTTTTCGTGAACCGTTATACGTGAGATATCTGTGGACACAAACAAATGTGATCGGCTTTTGATTTATTGTTTACTATGTTAGCTAGAGCTAACACCATTAGCAGAAGCTAACGTAAAATCAAAATCAAATCACAGGATAATGAATGAGTGTTTAAAGTGACAGTGAAGCATCATTCAGTCGTTGTAAATCATCGTTCGAATATATCTGAGAAGATGTTTTGATCCTGACGCTAACTTCCCTTTTCTAAAGATTTAACGATAGTTAAATTGACTCTTTTGCACTCTATGACTTTGGTCTCATCGTTTAAAAAAGCAATCCCATATGAGAGGAAAGGAGGGAGATGGAGGGAAATTACAGAAGCTATTTTTACGATATTTAAATGTTTTTTAAACCTGTGATGTGATGTTCAGAGGTTTTGCAGCCATTCTCTAAATTTGGCAATGTTCTCAAATTTATAACTTTTTGTGCTACTTTAAAATTCCCTGCAGGTAAAGATCAGTGCAAATAGTTTGGAGATGCTCTGATAATGATCTAAATTGGACAGTATTTCCAATTTTGTTTTTGCAATTTTAGGTCAATTTCTTTTTTTCATTACCCTTTTATTTTTATTATGCACAAAAAAGCCCTTGTTTATTTTGCATTTTATTTAGTATTGCGTGTTTTGGCTTTGTTTCCTGTTTTGTTGCTGGGATCTTGTTAAAGGTCTACTACTGACACCCAAACACATAATGTGGCAGAATTATTAGTGAAAAACCTTGAGCTGATAAAAATAAAATTTAATTAAATTTGAAACCAAAAGTTTTAAATGGAGTATATGAGTGCAATTTTATGCACTCTATTGTTTTTTTAAGGTAATTTAAAACATATCGTGATATATATCGTGTATCACGATATAGACCAAATATATTATGATATTAGATTTTCTTCATATCGTCCAGCACTATTGCATAGTTCAAACTACATAAATAACAGATAATAAACTAACAATAAACTTAAAACTAAAATATATAAAATAACCAATTGTTTTCAATGTTTCGGTCTAAAACTATAAGCGGCACTTAAGGGCTGGTTTTCCTCCCGCAGCAGTGTGTCGCAGTGAGCTTGTACAGATATTTCAGATTTATGCCCATCATTGAAGTTTGGTTTACGCTGTTATTTAACGCCACAATGCAAGAGAGTCAATCAGGAACTAGCGGTGGGTCTAGATACGACCGAGGTGGTGAGGAAGTGAGGGCAAGTTTGTGCGACAACGGAGGGACATGAGGGCCAAAAAGAGCAGGGATCCAGGTGAAAAAGTGTCCCAGTGTTCTCGTGCACCTCGCTCTTCCAGCTGGTCCAACTTAACCAATCGTTTACCACAATGGCGGTCATAAAAACAAAGGCCGGTAAGGTACCAAAAAGGAAATAGTGTAGAGTGGATGTAGATTTTACCAATCAGAGGGCTCCTGTCTGTGACACTGTCGGCGGTCACCTACTATTTTGCAGCAGAGTGTCTGCGGGAGAGGCGGGAGCATATTTGTGTTAACTGCGACACACATGCAGACGACTTGGTTTTTGAGTATAAACCAGCCTTCATTCATGAGCACCAGGTGTTTAAAAGACTCAATTAAATGTGTTTGTGCTGAATGTTCAAGGCAGCGTAGAAGTTTGTTTCTCGGTTTGCTTTTGAATCCTTCAACTAAAAGCATTCATTATCTCTGAAGCCAGAGTTCAGACTCACCCCATTGGCCCTGCTCATTGCCTGGAAGTAGATGCTGTAGCTCTTGGCAGGTGAGAGCGGAGGGTTCAAGAAGCCTCCGTAGCTCTTGTTGTCCCCAACCGTGAACGGCTGCACAACCGTGAGGCTGGATGGCGGCAGATCAGCAGCCATGTAGTACGCAGAGTTCAGGATGGAGGCGTTCCTGAAGCTGAAAATGGCAGAAAAACACTCCGGAGCTTCAGAGGCGGCACGGCGGCTTTTAGACTTTCTCTCCTCCTTCACAACAAGCTGGTAGGAGCTGAAAAAAAAAGAGTTGATTTCTATAGAAAATCAGGCAACAAAACACTGACAGATAAAGTTGTCTAGAAAACTCCTTATTAAGGTAAAATTCCTTCAAAGTTTACAAGCATATAGTCCTATTTCTAAGCTTATGCTGGAAATAAATAATAAATAAATGTATTTGTTCTTGGATTGAGGAAGTTAAAGAGACATTTTACACTTCAAATAGGAAAAAAAACAACTGTATTGTCTTATTTCAAGTGGATGTTATCAAATTATATCATTCTAATTAGTGTTGCACCGATACCAAAACAAGTATCAGTCGGGGCCAGATCCAGCACTAAAATGGTGGTATCGGCATCAGTGAGTACAAACAAATAGCGCACTGATGCCATTTTGATAGCCAAAAGTTTATTCAACTATTGTCACCCATTCCAGGTAGGCAATAAAATGTTCTACCGGATTCACTTTGTATTAGTCTTTTTCCTGCTTCACAAAGGTAGGCAGCAGCTTGACAGTGTAATGCTGCCATAGATCTTTATACATATAGATATTTATACATTGGTAAGACCAGCATCCAAAGGCTCACATCCAACAACCTAATTCTAGATAAAAACAGAAGAATGAAAATCAAGTTTGTGCATTAATGGATGCTAACAGCTGTGTGTTTATCTGCACAGGTGTTGCTCTGTTTCTACTCTTAAATGTGCTTTGGTCTCTGTGTGTGTGAGAGTCTCCATTATGCTCTGAGACTCCATGAATGGTTAAGGGCCTCCTTTAGCGGCCAGGACAAATGCAGCAGCCCTCTGCAATTACCTCCACCCTCTACGCCAAGAATTCGCTTCACAATTATACACAATTAGGGAAATGTATGTTTCTGTGAAGAGGGGGCCGCCGCCAATTATCCCTAGCTCCTGTTTGGCGGCTTTCATAAAAAATAATTGCTGATGACCAAAGATGGGTCTCTCTCCATGTCACGTCCTGAACGTTCTACCGCTTTGGATGAAAGACAGCTTTTAGAGGGAGCACAGAATAAGAAGACGGAGTGCGCTGGTTTAAGATCAGAGACGCCATGTTTCCATCTTATGAGAAACTCTGAGGGAACTTTAAAAAGTTGAAAGAATATGAAACGTGAGTTAGATATTTTTTATCCCCTTGCTCGGGTTTAACAGCTCTGATGTCATGATCGCAGCCATGGTAGCTGATCTGATTACTCACTTCATTCACCTGCTGTTCCGTCCCCGCTCTCTAATTATCATTTATCTAATTCACCTGCTCCCTCTGCTATTCAGCCCAGCTATCGGGGCCAGATCATTATTCGTTAGTATTTCTTAGTTTATTCTTAGTTTGTTCGTGTTATGCTGTTGTCTCAGTTATTCATGTTTGTTACATGAGTTTTAGTTAAGTCCAAGGTTCATGTTCCCGTCCCCAGAGGACAGTGGATTTAGAGGGTTTATTGCTGTGGGAGGTCAGTTTTAGTCCCATGATCCTGGCTCCTAGGGGGGGAGCAGTTTAAAGTTCGGCATTTATCCTGGTACCATGTCTTGTCTATGTTCCTCTACCTCTGAGCCTGCCTGTCTTCGTATGAGCGTGTCTGTCTGAGCTCGTGCTGGACTAATGGAACTCTGAACCTGCCTGAACGCTCTGTGGATTCCTGGAACCCTGGATCTTTCTGTTCCTGTTCGGATCGGAAACCCTGGTTGGGCTACGGACTCCTGGGTCTCGGAACTGTCCAGTTCTGAACCGTTTCTCAGACCTGGATCGTTATCCTGTCTGCTTCATCGGGGACGTTTTGGACGGCTCTGAGCCGCAGCTCGTTTAGGAGTCCATCGGCTGGATCTTGTCTTCCTCGGAGAGGACGGACTGAACTGTTAAACCAGAGCGTCAGTGATTGAGCGGTGCCCCACCCCCCTCCTACAGCCGCTGCGGTTCACTTATCCTCAACAGGCCATCTTTCTGTTCCTTTCTGTTTTATCATCCCTGTCATTGGACACTTTCAAATGTCCGATTGTCTGACTCGCCTTGAATACTGGATACATCTGTCGGTTTTATGTCATCTAAATCTAAAGTTATCAATACTTATTCCTGCTGATGCTGGAATAAGTTTGGTAGAGATGTGTTTATTGCTTTTCAGTGTTGGAAACATTACTTAAAAACAATAATTTGTTAAAGTTACTAATTACTTTTCTAAAAAAGTTACTCAGTTACTGCGCAATCAAGGGAACTAGTTACTAGTCAAAGTAACTATACAGTTGGCTTTTATGATCTAAAATGTTGAAGAATTTCACTTTTTACAGAACTATAAATACAACTGAAGCTTCAATTATGAAAAACGTTGGAGATTAATTAACAAAATATAAAAAAGTAGAAGGTTTGAAAAACATTGAATAATAATCCGCACCATGTTGGTGAATTCTTGGACACCTGAGTTTCTGTAGAATTTTGTAGCTCTGATTACGCATTTGGTTTAAAATAAAAGAACAATGTGGTCAACTTTATGTTTATGCAACTGGTTTTACAAATAGAATGAAACAGATGCCACACTTTTTGAGCAATAAAAGCTAAGACATTTAAGAGTATAAATGACAAATGAGCAGGTGATTATCTGGTTGAATTGTCTCTCCAGAGGAAGAGAGCTGGATGGAAACAGAGTGAGCCGCAAAGGAAGGTAAGGTGACTATAGAGTGAACAACCAGGATGAAGGTTGATTATTTTAGAGACAGAATAAAGAGGCGAACCTGATGGGAGCTCCTCTGGACTGGGCTGGCTTCAGCAGGATGGTGATGGTCGTCTCCGTCTCATTGAGCGCGCTTTCTGATTCATACTCAGGCATCATGGGAGCTGAAACGAGACGTTTCTGCAGCATGAAAACTGTGGGAACCTTTAATGAAGGACAGCCATAACTGTACAGTCTATGTTATTCAAATATGGCCCAGAAATACAGCAAAAATACCACATAAGGATTTGGAAGAAACTTTTACTGTAAAATTAAACTTTCAAATCAGTCATCAGATTTCTATTATTCTGAATTGTAAATGTTTTCTGTTTGGTTGATTCATTCACATGTTCTTTATAGTTTCTACTTTAAATCTGAGCTCATGTCAGTGTTAGAATAAAGCAAACCTCATCCTGATGGTTAACCTCATGTTTAGTTTAGAGACGTCCCAAATGATTTAAGCCGGGCATACACTGTAAGATTTTTTGCCCTTTTCGGGCCGACTTTCCAGAATTAATGTACAGGGGATAACGAGGAGCGATCAGCCTTTCACGACCACCTCCCGATCAGGAATCATGAAGTCGGGAGAAAATCAAACACGTCAGGTCGAACAATGTGAGCTGTGAACTCGAACTGTACGACCAACCGCAGGGTTTCGTCGTACAGTGTGAGCTATACATGCATGCAAGGATTGAAAAAAATTGCACTGTGTATGCCCGGCTTAACACGGTTCAATAAACCATTGATGGATCAATATAATTTGAGGCCATTTCAAACTGTGTAAACATGTTTCTACGACGGAGTATTAGGGCCACACATGAAGAGAAAAAATATTTTTGCCATGACGAGATTAAACTCGACATGTCGACTTTAAAGTCGACATGTCGACATTAAACTCAACATCTCGAGAATAAAGTTGAAATGTCATGTTGAGTTTAATCTCGACGTGTCGACTTTAAACTCGCCATTTCGAGAATAAAGTTGATATATCGTGGCGACTATAATCTCAACATTCCAAAGTTTGGAGAAAAGAGCAACCGCGCTCCACAGCTGCAGTCTGCGTTTTAAGAGTGAAGGTAGTCTTTGACGTGCTGCAACTATATAATCATCACAGGAAGCGGTGGCCTACCAATAATAACGTAACATCTTTCCCTATGCTTACCCAGGCTCGCAGTTCTGAATTTGAGAACATGTCAGTCATTTCAACTTTATTCTCGAAATGACGAGTTTAAAGTCGACAGGGCGACTTTAATCTCGTCATCTCAACTTTAATTCAGTATTCATACTTAGCAACGCACAGAGGATATAGGTAAAAGAATGTTTGAACAGGAAACATTTACACACAGAATAAAATCGAGTGAAGAGGTGAAAGAACGGTTTATGCATCAGAGAATTTTGGCAATCACATTTTTTTTTCTTTTCAGGCCATCATGGAAAAACACCACACACACACATTCCAGTTAGATTTCCACATGTCGTGCACATACATTCACACTATGTTACAGAAAAGAGGATAAATACACTGAGAGGGATGGGGCAGCTTTGTAGGAAAAAAGCTTTTGAGATGTGAGCACTGTATGGTATTATTTTAGGACAGCATGTTAGAATTCGACTTGTCAATAAACGGTTTTCCCCACTCCGGTGGACAGATGAAGTGAATCGTCTCCAGTGTTTTGATATTTTTCAAAAGAAAATTCTAACATTTTGAGCCCCAACAGCATCCATCACCTCTAACGCATCGTCCTGTTCAGAGGAGGGACTCAACAAATGATTTGATTCTCACTGATCAAAAAACTTCTGTTTAGAGGCCTAAGATCATTTATCTAGTTTTATGACATCATTTCTAATTGTAAGTGTTGCCTACACTTGTTTCAAGGTTTAAAAATCTCAAAGAAAGAAGACATTTGCTGAGATTTATTAAGGTTTTTGTAATGATCTTAGACGTCCCGTATTTTTACCAGTTTAGAAATTAGTTACATTTACTTGAGAAACCTTTTAATCAAGATATACTTTCAGGAGTGGTTTTGCTGTCCTGTGCTTTTTTCTAAGTTAATAACATTAAGAAGTATCACTGGTTTTATCAGAGTAAAATCACCCCATATCCTCATTGGATAAACTAAAATACACAACATGAAATTCATGTTAGAGTGAGACTTCCTGTTAGCACAAGCTTTGTGTGTTGTTTGCCTCCATGTGGAGAAAGTTGACCTCCACACAGTCCTGACCTCAAAAGGGCAGAGGTTCACTATCTGACTCACAAACTGCGTTAACAGCCTGATATACCTTGGCCACACTGTGTTTCTACCTTTCTTATACCTTTTTAAAAATACTTAGATTATCCTGAGCTATTTTCTGCATTTGAGCTGCTATAGGCTTAGACTGCTGGATGACATAGAGACCCCTTTTCATCATTCTATCTGTATTCTCCCATTCTGCTGTATTTGTTAGTACAATTTCTTACGTTCTGCTCTCTCTGCTTTTCCTCATAGTAGCTTCATCTGGTCTGTTCCTGTTTGGCTGTGACTCCATCCTGGAGATAAATAGCTGCGCTGCTGCCATCAACACCTTTGTTTACAGATGTTGGAGATCGGCCTGTTTTTCAGTATAGTCCTGTTTCTCTGACTGTGACTAACTGGATGTGCTCTCTTCATCTTCTGACATGAGAGCTGGCTTGGAGCTGGTGTGCCTGGCTATGTTTCTCCTGGACGGGGCAACCTGTGGAGCTGGTTTACAGTTGCCTTTTGTATCTCTGCTTCTGTCTCCTTGAACCCCAGGCGGCCTCAGCAGATGGACACTCACACTGAGCCTGGTTCTCCTTAATGTTTCTTTCTGTTAAAAGGGAGTTTTTCCTGTCCACTGTCGCTACAAGTATGCTTGGTGTGAGGGATTGCCTTCAAGTCAATAAGTCGATGCAATCAGCAGGTTTTTCTTAGATAAAAAAGTTTGAACCAATCTGACTGTATGAACTGGTTGAATTTTCTTTGTAAAGTGCCTTGAGATTATGTGTTTTTGATTGGTGCTAGATAAATAAATTTAATTGAATTGAAACCGGAGGGATTAACTACATTCACAGGCTAAAAGCAAAGCTCATTGCTAAAGAAGGAGCAGATAGACCCGACTCTTTAGAAATCAGGAAAGTAATCTTTAGCTGGACTTAAGAAATGATGTAATTTTACTTTAGTAATGATATGTTGGAGGAGTTCTCCTTTTTATTGAGTTTAGTTTCTGTTGCTCCGCCCACCTGTCATAGTCACAAACAATTATTCATCTGATCACAATAAGCTCATCCGCTGCTTGTAAGTGAAACAAAGAGACGGATGAACGTTGTGCTGAGAGACTTTCTATAACTTCCAGGTTTTACCTCCACGTGTCACAGCTTCATGCTGGAGTTGCAGCAATAAGACGTCTGAGTGAAACAGAAACACTAGGAGCACCCCTCCATCCCTCTCCATTTTCCGTGTCCCTTTAATTCAAAAATCTGGCTGTTCTTTGGACCTCGAATGAGATAATGAAGATTAAGGATGGCGTGACATTTGGAGGGAGACGTATCTGTCATGTGAGGATGGAGCATCTCTCTTTCTTTTCTTTCTACTTATAGCAAGATGTTGTTAAGATTAGTGTGAATGATTGAAGGGAGGAGGCTAAGAGGAAAAGGTCATGCTAAATATCCCTGCAGGTGTTGACAGAGAGGCCTGCGTCTGCAACATGCCGATGATATGGGGGGTGGGGTGGTAGTGGGAAGGGGGGGTGGGGGGGTTATGTGGTGGTGGGAGGGTTGGGGGGTGGACTCACCTGAATCTGAGCTTTAATGCTAAAACTGAAGAGTTGACGTGATCCTAAGAGGGAGGAGGACACCAATCCTAACTATTTCTCACTTTACATCTAATGAAACCATGAACCGAGTATACAATGGAAAGTAAAACACCATATCAGCCCATCTAACAAAAATTTACAATCTGAGATCTCACCAAAAAAAACAGATTAGATTATTAATCTGTTGATAAAATTCTACTGAGGCAGAAATGAACCATTCTGACACAGATGGAGGAACAGACAGATACCATAGAGGAGATATAATCCATGATGCAGAGACTGGAGGACAGGAGGAGACAAAACTGGACAAAGTTTAGATTAAAGGGAAACTGAATGCCTGAATGAATAATTAATCTTCAACCAGTTAAACTGTATTAAGCTGATTATTAGACTTAACACCTTAAGTGCACCGTTTTGTTCCACGAACATTCACCATTTGAAGATAATAATGAACCCTGGACTGTTAGTCTTGTGCTATGAAAATATTCAGAATTGGAAAATCAATATAAATGTATATATATATATATATATATATATATATACACACATACATACATACATACATATACAAACTATCCAGAAGTCTTTTTGATAAACATAAAAAAACTAATCTGAGTAAATTTTTTTTTTAAATCAGTGCATTTGAAAAATTTATTTGAAAGAGGAATTTGATATAATGAACTAAAGATAGCATAAAGGAGTCTTTTTTTCTCGCTTTAAATATTAGTCATCTTATTTCATTGTCAAATTTAATTTATTGTAGTGAAACCTACTTGCAGTAAATCTACCTGTACGCTGCAAATATTGCTGCGATTTGTATAAAAATCATGATATATGTGTTCTTAAAACTGATTAATAAAACAAGATCAAAAACACAAGTTGATTGAAACTAAGATTTTAAGACTTGATTTTTGCTCTGAGCAGAAAAGTACCATGAATGAATGAATTTGCATTACTTTAAGCAGTAGGTAGCAGCAACATCTCTTAGATGTTCTTTGAGTGTTAAAATCTGAGAAGCATCACAGCTACATGTTGGAAAGATGGGAGCAATATGCAGACTTTCTTCTTTTAATAAAGCTCCTATTGTTTGAAGGGAGGAGGAAACTGAAAACTACGAAAAAAATGTCACATTGTTGAAAGGTGAAATACAAAAGAGTAAAATTTGGCTGAAAGAAAAAAATAAAATGAAGAGAAAGCAGGAATCTAAAATCACTGAAAGGAGTCAGATAGAAAAGGCAAAGAGGGACTAACAAACAAAGAGCTTTTATTTTGCTATCAGTCATTCTCCCATTAAAATAACAAAGGACGGCCTTCCAAAAACAGCCTGAACAAAAACCCAGACAATTCTGGTGTAGAAATGTTGTCATATGAAGCAGTTTGTTTCTGCCTTTTTATTGGTGCCACTGACATTTTCTGTGAACTGATGCCTGCAGATAAACAGGATTACAAACGGAGAGAAAATGTCAGAAAGCTGCCAGTCAGTCAGGAACAGAGAGAGGCACATTCAGAGAAAAACAGAAGACGTTAGTCTGCCATGAGAAGCACAGCTCTGTCCCGGATAAGATCAAACCAATCCGGCCTACAGGAGGACATCCAGGATTCAAAAGTTACCAGGAGCAGAGAGGAGCAGCAGCCAGAATCTGCTCATTGAATCAGGGCAGAAATCAAAGGATTTATCTGTAGATTTTATGGAACCCAACAGTAACAGAGGACCAGAACTTATGTAGCATTTTTCAATCTCTGTACTGAAATATAGATTTTTCTGGGGACTTTTTTTGTTTTGCTCCCTACATTTAAACACAACTATTTGTACTTTCTGCTACTCACTGTACATGAAGTAATAGCTGAATGAAGACAGGCAGGCTGGGTAAATTTGCACATGATGGATCAGATGAAGACATTTCGCCTCCCTTAACTTTTACTGTACATGTTGACGATGTTTAAATTTCTATATTTAGTTGTACTTTCAGTTTTAATGCTGTTATAGGTTTAGACTGCTGGAGGACATAGGGATCCCTTTTCATCATTCTGTTTTATTTTCTGTTTATATAATGTATATAATAAACTAACTAACTAACTAACGTTATGTTATGTTCTCTGTGCTTTTTCTCATCACAGTAGCTTAATCTGGCCTTGACTAACTGGATGTTCTCTTTTTCATTCTTTGACACAGACACTGACTCAAAGCTCATCTGTTTAACTGTTTCTTTCTTAGAAAATCAAAATCCCTTTAATTGCTCTTGTAACCTCAAAGTGTCGATGAGAAAAGGCAAAACAAACCCGGTGAGCCCAGCTGAGTCCAAAACCAGTGTCCTTTACCTGCTATCTTGGTGGTTATGCGGGTGGTGACCGGCGGCCCGAAGCCCTTGTTGGTGGACGCCTTCAGGGTGAAGAAGTAGGTGGTTCCAGGGTAGAGGCTGACGAACAGGTGATGGGTCTCGTTCCTCAGCTTGAAAACTCTTCCCCTCTGGGTGGTGAGGTCGGCGCTGGGATCCAGGGAACTCAGGGCCTTGTAGGTGATCTGGAGACAGACAGAAGGATTGTCTTATTCTAAAGCATTACTAATATCCTTTTTACACTCTGTGTGGGAACCAAACTCTCCATTTAAGAATATTTATCCTTATATAAAATTTCCTGGTGGAATTGTCTTCCTGCGCTGGCAGATTATTTCCCTATGAGAACTTGTTTTTGAAGATGGCATCAATCTTAAAACAAGGTCAACGAAGCTACAGCTATGGTACGATTTGTTAAATCCTCACTTTATTTGGTCAACCACACAATATGTAGCTTAAGCATCCAACATAACTTGACCTTGGATATAATTCGGATTATTTTTCTCTGAAGTTGAAATCCATGCTGAAAACAAACGGCCACAATCACCGTTCATTGACAACCCGCCCCCCTCAGCTGTCACATCACAGCCGCCCAGAGAATCAATCCTGAGGTATTAAATCATCCGTTAAATGTTGCAGGGATCAATTTGGTGGCGACGGCTATTTACAGCAGGTCAGTGTGTCTCATTGTGATCTCCACTCTGAAAACATAAAGCAGATTGAACACATTGACCCCGTCGGCCAAACCGTCACAAATGCTTTCAGCAGGAGTTTTTTAAAGAGCCGTCGATGTCTGTGGCAGCGACGCTTTCGGCCAGTTTCCACACATCAATGACTCCACACATCAGCTCAGACATGCGTGCGTGATGGGCAGAGGACAGCTGCTCAACGCCGCCGCTATTGACTGAGAGCCATTCAACACATTTCAGCACTGGGCCTCTGGCTGTTTGGAAACGTCTCGGTATAAACCGAGCGACTAGGTGGGAGGAGGGGGAACGCCACTCAGATGGACAACTATTTTTTTTAAATCCACTGAAGAAGCCTGAAATAATTACTATTAAAGTGGGATATGAGGGGGTGCAATGGCGTAAATACCGGTAAGCAGAGACAGCAGATGCTTCCCGGTTGTATTGTTGTGTCGTTACGCCATTAGGGGGCTGTTACGCTAACGCTGCATTCAGACATTTATCAGAGTGTCCTAAATGAACCTCATAGTTGAACCTCATTGAGGATGTCGAAACAATCTATCAGGATCTGATCCGTGCTTCACCTTTACTGCATCCTGTTTGGTCTAAGAGCTACACTGCAAATATTTCCTCAAAACAGAGTTTTTACTCTAAATTTGAGAACGTAAATCAAATTATCTCTCAGTGGAACAAGTGTTTCTGACCCTAAAATAAAATAATTAGATGTTATGCAATGGAAATTAGATAATAGATGTTTTTTTGTGAGTCATATTATTCCACTGGTAACAATACGGCTAAAATTGAGGAAAAACATATTTTAAAAAAAGAGAAAAACTTATATGAGGTACATTAAATAAATCACAGCAAGCTGGCCCACAGTGAGGCTTCTGAGGATTATTCTTTCAGTGTTTTTTTTAAATAATAATTATGATGTTTGCATAAATGTTTTATTTTATTTTTTTATTTATTTAGATAAATCCAGATGATATTAGCAGTGGTGAGGATAAACTTAACTTTATTCTGTTTTATATAATTTCTCTAAATTCAGTCCAAGGTTTTAACAAAATAAAAAATCTAACAGGTCAGATGTTTTATGATAAATGTATAATACAGATTTTAACAGTATCAGGCCCTTAATTAACTCAGTGTCAGATTGATACCAACATAACTCTATCTCCTATACTTTAATTGTTAAGACTTCTCTAAAACAAGAACTTAATTCTGGAATATTTGAGTTGGTAAATGGAAAACTTCTACCTGATTAGAACTGCACTTGGTATTACACACAAAGAAAAAACTGTGTTTATAATTTTCTGGAAGAAAAAAAAAACAAACCAAAATGGTCACAGAAATACCTTGAATCTGACAAAAGTAATAAATGAAAATTCTACGAACTTGAACGAATGAAGTCAGACATTGTTTTTCACCCAGACTTCAACAGTTTAATCTAAAAAAATTAAACTCATGGAGCAGATCGGGACAATTATTATGGTTCCTTTAACTTAATATTAAGCTAAGGGAGCACAGGGTCAAATTACTTTCTTTTTGGTGTTTTTTTAAGCATATGACCTTAAATTGTTGGGTTTTTTTTGTACATGACTAACGGGATACACACCGGTTGAGGTAGTTTAAAGTCTATTTTTCATACAAAATTAAAGGGATAAGCGCAAATCTGATGTCTATGCATATTGACTATGGGTATGCTGATCTGACGAGGTATGCTGATCTGACAGAGTGCTGGCCATTGTCAGAGACAGTGCAGCTAACATGACCATCCCAGGTTAGCAAACTGGTTTGTTGCATTTCAAGTGGTTTGCCGGTCGGTCTTCAATAAATTGAACATAAATATAATATTTGGCTGGTTTTGTTAGTGTTATTTTGAAAGTAATAAATATTGATATAGGAGTCAAATCAAATCAAGGTCAGCTATTTTGAGAATCAATTTGTATCGTTAGCTATGCATCAACAATTGAATCGGCTCACCCTACATGATACCCAGTCAGAGTAATGTGTATAGCACAATTCAGTGCAAAGACAAATCGCTTTACGTAAATTAAAAGATAAAATAGAACACGATAAAAGAAGCTAGTAAAAGAAATAAAACTGGAAGAGAAAAGCCAAAGGTTTGTCAAGTATGTCAATAACTCAGGATGGAAAAATGACACTGACTGAAGAGAGTAGAGAACAGCAATGCTAGGAAGTTAAATCAGCGACAGCTAGCATTGACGAAGAGATTTGGAACTGAAACTGCAAACATTATAAAACCTTACTAAAACATTAACTAAAACTTATGATAATCCTCTCGTTTAATGCTGTAGTTTTTTGTAAGTCTTCTTTTTTTCCCCAGAGTGAGATGGTTTCAGTGTTTCTGCAGAGTTCCTTCCGTCAACATCCCTCTACAAGTTAGCACTTTCTGGTGTCAGGGGGCGCAGCTTAACTCAAGGCTCTAAGTGGAAAAGAAAATGCAGCAGAATACGAGAAAACCATCCTGTTTGTCCTTTTTTCAGTAGCTATGTTTGAATATTCAATATTCTGTCTTGATCACAGCCCTGATAGTTGATCTAATTGCTCACATCACTCACCTGTCAAACCCTCCCCAGTCACTAATAATCATCACCTTATCCACCTGCTTCTTCTGCTTGATATACTGTTCAGCCTAGCTATCCGAGCCAGATCATTGATGTATGTTTGTTCATTAGTTTTAGTGTTTTCCAAGGTTCATGTTCCTGTTCTCGGAGGCCAGTGGTTAGAGGGGGTTATTTGTTTTCTCTTGGTGTGTGTCTGGGTGTGTTTCCTGGCTCTTCTCTGCTGAGCGTGCCCTGTTTCTGTTTTGACTTGGCAGGGGGGAGCTAGTTTAAAGCTTTGTAGTCCTGTCTCTTATCCTCTGAGTGCACCCTGATCCTGTTTTGGCTCAGTGGGGGAGGCAGTTTAAAGTTCCATGGTTTTCCTCATACGTCTTGTTCTGCCCCATGTCTGCATCCGAACGTGTCTGCTTGAACTTCCTGTTTGAGTCTTGGAATCCTGAACCTGCCAAAACTCTCTGTGGACACATAGAACGAATTTGCCTTTTCTGGTTCTGATCAGGAACCCTGACCAGGCTACGGACTCCTGCCTGCTCACTGGGGTTGCTGCATCGGGGCCACTGTGGGCGGCTCTGCATCTCGTTGGCAGTGCATCAGCTGGATCCTGCCTCACCCTTGAGAATGGACTGAACTGTTAAACCAGGTCTAACTCCATTATTGTTGCAAAAGGTTAAGATAAAGACAGGATGATGCAGAGAAAGCTTGAAAGAGCAAAAGGAAAAGTGTCAAAGGATGTGCAGGACGCCAACAGCTCCAGGCTGGAAATATGTGTGTGGGTGTTTGGTGGAGGGAGGCAGCAGGACGGCCGTCTCTTCACACTCTGGGACGTCTGACGGGCCCCTTGTCACTGCGTTAACAGAGCCCAGTCCAAAACTGCGACAGCTGGCTACCTCGCTTAAGCCGAGCCTGCAGGCTGAGAGGGCGACGTGTGAACGTGTGACTGTTTGCATGAATGTGAGGCAGAACAGAAAGACCCGGACAGGAGAGCTGCTGGAAAGACAAGCTACAAACACTGAATAAGAGGGTCGTACGTCGCAGTCCCTAGGGGTCCAAAGGATTGGAAAAACGGAGCAGTTCACAGAGATTTCACCTTTTTTTTTCTACATTTCTTTAAATGATAAACCTATGTAATGTTTACACATTTAACATGTTTCCAGTTGGTTTTTGTTTAGTTAACAATTCCTACTTAGCATAAAAAAACCACCAAACAGCATCTGCAACTGAAGTTTAGGTTTGTGGAATGTCAGAAGTTTCACGAAATGCACCAAAAAGTTGCAAAATTTATTCAAACTGAGCTAACAACACATTTATGAAGCATGATTGTGGTTTCTATAGAGCTTTCATAAATATTTGTTGGTTCGCTTCTATTGTCTTTCAGGACTGAATTAATAACCAGAAGTGGGTGGAAGTATAAAGCAACCATCCCTGAAAAAACGTATTTGGGGAAAAAGGCTTTTCAGAAAACGGAGTAACTGATCAAAACGTGATTTAAAAATAATGTTCACGCCGCACGCGATTTTAAAGACTAATTTAGTACAAAGATTGATGTTTAAAAGGAATTGTGGGGGACCAGCCAAGGACTCATCAAGGAAAGTGGAGAAATTTTGAATGGCTACTAATGTAGAAATTATGTGCAAATGCTGTTATTTTAAATGCTACAAAGAAATAATTAAAAGAAGCAAAGAATTTCTTTAAAAAATCCTAATTTCAGGCAGAAGAAAGACGTTAAAAATGTGTTTATTTTTAACATTAAAGCTATGAAATGATATTGAACCAGATGAGTTAAATCTGGTTTGACCAGTGCATTGGTTCAGTGGCTGGGCAGAACAAACACAAGGTATAGAGATAACTTGCTGTCTCCCACCTATGCTCCTTAGTGTGTGTTACCTTGACCTCCAAATGGTAGAGTGCGTTTTACCA